AGTCCCCACGACCTTGGTAAACAGGTGCTGGTCACTGTCTCAGGTCTCACATTCTCAGCCACAGGAGAGAGAAGGACAGGGGTGACAACAGAGCCCCCTCTGTGTCCCTTCCTGGCAAGAAAACTAAGAGCCAGGGAGGCAACGGAAAAACTGGGCACCATGGCTATAATTCTAGCATTCTGGGAGGCTGAGGCAGGAGGATGGCAAATTTGAGCCCAGCCTGGGAAAGTTAGCAATTTAGCAAAAACCTGTCTCAAAATAAAAACTAACAAGGGCTAGGGATATGGCTCAGTGCAAAGGCCCTGGAGTCACAATCCCCAGGGCTTCAAGCAAAAACACTCAGAGAGGCCAGCAGTAGCACTCATTGCAGTCAGTTTGCAAGCGCCAGTCCGCACCCTGATCAGTGATTCATGCTGCCCCCCAGCTTCTTATAGAAAAGAAGGGCATTGCGCTGGGGGTTCTTTGTAAGGCTCTTTCTCAAGTTTGTTTTCTTTTGGTTTGGTGGGTTTGGCTTTCTGTTTTTCATTGGTTTGGTTTGGTTTGGCCCAGGCCAGCCTTAAGCTCGCTCACTATGTAGCCCAGGCCCAGCTGGAGCTCACAGTCCTCCTGCCTCAGCCTCCCGACTGCTGGGATCAGCCTCCCCACTGCTGGGATGGCAATGTTCAGCCTCACCTCTGGCCTCAGTTCCAATTCTACTTGGTGAGCTGGGCCAGGCAGTTCGTTTTCTTCCTCGGCTCCTTCCGCACTGAAACATGACCCAATGCACCCTGGGGGCCTTAAGAAGAGAAGTTTCCACTCATTTGCATGAGACTTGCAGACAAGGTCAAGCCAGCCCCTGACCTGGTGGTGGCACTTCTGCTCCTGACCTTAGGCAACCTGGCTGGCCATAGACACCTGTAATCCTAGCACTATGGGAGCCTGAGGCAGGAGGATGAAAAGTTCAAGTCCAGTCTGGGCTTCAGCTAGAGCCTGGCTCAAAATGAAAAATAAAGGCCTGAGCATGTAGCTCCTCAGGAACATTCTGAGTTCACTCCCTCAGGCCTCAAAATGCATACATACACACACACACATACACACATACATACATACATACATACATACATACATACATAATAGGCTCAAATACAGGAAGTCTAGGGCTCAAAATCTCACAGACCCAGCAGGAATGGTGGTGCATGTCTGTAATCCTAGCACTCAGGGGGCTGAGGCAGGATGATTGCAAATTTGAGCCACAGTCCAAGCAATTTAATGACTTAGCAAGAGAAGAAAAAGTTATTTTAATGGCTGGGATGTAGCTCAGTTACAAGGATCTGGGTTTAATCCCAACTATGGTTGAAGGGAAGGAAGGGAAGAAAGGGGGCTACAAAAAGAACATCAAGTAGGAGCAGGGCACGGTGGCACACTCCTGCAATTCTAGCACTCTGAAGGCTGAGGCAGGAAGATCAGCAAGAGTTCAAAGGGCCGGGAAAATGACTCAGTGGAATAAGCGCTTCCCCGGCAAGCCAAGAGTTCAAGGGCACACGAGGCTACCTAGAGAGAGACCCTGTCTCAAAAATTGAAAATAAAAAAGAAAGAAATGAGAAGCATAGTGCGTAATTGGCATTTGGTAAATAGGGACCACAGTCCGTCAGTCGTAAGAGCCCCGAGAGAAAGCGGCCAGTACCCGGTTACATCTACAGTTGGAGCCAGTGCCAGGTGTGGTGCAGCGGGCCTGTCATGCCAGCACTCGGGAGGCTGAGGCCAGAGGTCAAGGCCAATCTGGACTTCATAGTGAGACCCCGCCTCAACAAAACAAAACCAAAAAAAATGAAGGTGCCATCTCTAAGTCAGGGGTAACTCGAGAGGAATCCAGGCTCCTAGCGCCCCAGTCTTAGTGACCAATTAGCCTCCTGGACATGGTGCTCAGTGCAGCCCGGCTCCCCATACCTTCACAGCCAGCAGGGCGTTGCGTCTCTGCCTCCGACTCCAAGATAGCACCCGGGAGTCCTCTTTCAGCACCCATGGACCTAGGCCTGGGTCTGCACAAAGCCCCTGGCCCACAGCAGGTGGGGCCACCCCTGGGGGGTTATGGTCAGGGCAGGCATGGCGAGCGTCCCCGTCCCCGCGGGGCCTCCTCACCTCTCCCCATCACCTCCTCTGCCCCCTGTCCCGTCTCTGCTCTTGGGGGCTGCAGGAGCAGGTCACTGCTGGGGGCTGGATTATGATGTCCCCGCTGTGGTTATGACCTCAGCATCTGGTAGCCCAAGAGGAGGGACAAAGACTGAGACAGCCCAGGGGCCCTGTGGAGCACAGCCTGCCAGCTGGGGAAGGGAGGAACCCTTTCGGAATCTGACTTCTCACGGGGGTTTGGTTTGGTTTGGTTTGGTTTGGTTTGGTTTGGTTTGGTTTGGTTTGGTTTGGTTTGGTTTGGTTCAGTTTGGAGACAGGCTCTCCCTATGTAGTTCAGGTTTGCCTCTCCCTGGCAGTTTCTGCAGATGCAATCCAAGAGCCCTGGAGATACCCCATCTGGGTCCTGGAGACCTGGGGTTCGTGCTGCTCAGGAAAAGAAGAGGCCTTAGTTTCAGGCCTAGAAAACTATAGCCTGACCTCATAGCCACTCTCCAAAAGCTATTTATTTATTTATTTATTTTTGCGGAACCAGGGATTGAACTCAGGCCCTTGTGCTTGCCAGGGAAGTGCTTATTCCACTGAGCCATGTCCCTGGCCCCTCCAAAAGTTTTTAGGAAGCACAATGGAAAAGTGGGCAGGAAGACATATTCTTAGACATATGAATATGGCTATGAAGACATTGTCATAGCCCATAAAAGTAAGGGCTTTTCCTGGTCTCTGGCTCATTGCCTTTGCATAGATGCTGCTACTGCCATGTCTAAAGCAGATGACACCATCTAAAGGTGGGCAGTGGCTTCCAGCGCCATGCTGCTGACTGGTTATGAGCCCACGGCTCCTGCACTAGGTTAGGTGCCAAGGGAGCGCATCCAGTTGCCCTGCAGCAGAGGGTGCCTGCAATCTTGCAAACCATTCTGCTCAACGCTGGGCCTGTCTACCAGCTCTCCAGGGCTGACAGGTGCAGGGGTGCAACCTGACCCCCAGCAGTCAGCAGCTGAGGCAGGAGGGTCAGGGTCCGGGCAGCCCGAGGTGAGAAGGTCTCTCTGGAACTGAGGTCATACAGCTGGCTGAGACCCAGGAGACCACACTGTCCCCAAGGTGGTGCTGGGCAGGGCTTCTCACTCAGAACGACCTCTGCCATCCAGACCCTGTCCCACAATTGCTAATTAAACGTGCTCAGATACCAGGCCAACACATCAGTGCCAAAGCAAAAACATAAAAATCAGGGAGTCAGGACACCAGGAAAAATAAAAACAAAAATAAAAGGGAGCAGAAGACAGAGGAACAGGAAGAAACCCCCAGTTTAGGATTTGAGATTTGGAGAGATACATCATAAGAGCAGAGCAGAGCAGAGCAGGGGTGTACAAGAGGGATGGTTAGAGAACAGCGACCACAAAACAGCTGAAAAGCAAAACAAAATTAATTTGCTAAAAATAATAATAGAAGTTGAGCTGGACCTGGTGGTGCCACCTGTCGCCGGCACTCAGGAGGCTGAGGCAGGAACATCACTGTGACTGTAAGACCAGCCTGGGCTCCAGGGACACCCAACCCTGTCTCAGGAAATAAATATCTGGACCACAGGAGACAAACGAGACAGAGGGGTTGGTGAGGCTGCAGCCATGCCCTCATCTCTTTTGATTCCCGCTTTTCTTTGTTTTTCCGGACACACTCTACGGTGGCATCTCGCCACTGGGCCCGTGGACTAAAAGTGAGTGTTCCCCAAGACCAAGTTCGAGCACATAAGAAAAACCACTAGGGCCAGTTGTGGATGCCTGTCATCCTAGCACCGGGGAGGCTGAGGCAGGAAGATCACAAGTTTGAGGGCAGGCTGGGCCATTTATGAGCTAAGGAAACCCCATCTCAACATTAAAAAAAAAAAAAAAAAAAAAAAGGGCTAGGGATGCATCTCGGTGCAGAGGCCCTGGCTCCTCTGGAGTTACTGGGGAAAATAATAAACCAAAGGAAGAAGAAAGGAACTATGGGAAATAGACCCCCCCCCCAAAGAGCTCTACCAGGAGGAAGGGAGGGGCTCCGTGATCCAGGCCTGCGCTAACACAGCCTCTTCAGAGGGCAAGGCCAGGAAATGAAATAGCACCAGCAGGCTCGCAAAGCAAGAGCCAAGGCAAGAGCCACAGCAGGAACAGGGTGACCGTCAGGTGGGGCGGCCTCTCCCTGCAGCACCAGGTCCCACTGCTCCCACCTGTGTGATGTGTGGCAAGTGAACCGCCCTCTCTGTGCCTGGCCCTTGCCTGTCAAAGGAAGGTGGCTCCAAGGCCAGCTCACATGCATGACGCTCCTAGCGAAGACTGACAAGGGGTGAAGTGCTGTACGAAGTGTGTTCAGTGTACGTATTTAGTTATCTATTATTTTTGTCATTAGCCCATGACTGCAGTACGAGATGATTACACCCACGGTGGGGGGTGGCACACGGACCCAGTACCTCTCATTTTCTTTTCCCTTCCTCCTTACCCCCATTTTTAAGGGTTTTTTTTTCCTTTTGCCAGCACCAGATTTATTTAAATTATAAGCCCTTATCCAATTGATGTCATAAAAAAAAGTTTTAAAAAATTTGGGCTGGGAAGATAGCTCAGTTGAACAAGCACTTGCCTGGCAAG